TTTTTTTTTCCAAACAGACAGGGGAACAGAAAAAGAGCTTAGTCCAAGGAAAAGAACAGTAGGAGCATACAGTTTAATAGCTTTAATGTGTTTACTTTTTCCTTTAGCTGTTCATTTTGTATACAACATAGAATTACTGATTGCATGAACACAGCAATCTCTACAATGCCAACTGTACCCAGCACATCAAAGGGACCAACTGACACACCATGCATCTTGAGTGACTACATCCCCACCTTCTCTGAGCACCTCCCAAACCCACTGCAGCCTTGTTCCTCATGTCTCTTAGAGACAAGTATAAACAGTAAAAATGAAAAGCTCTACATAGCTCCAAGTGCACTGGGGGTTTCGGCAAGGGTTTGATGTACAGATTGGTTTGGGGGGACCAACTTCAGAAAGCGTGGAAGCTGTCATGCCCACCTGTGAGTTTATCATTAAACATAATGTTGAGTTTTCAAACACGGTTGATACATTATGGATCTTGATACCTTCCGATAAAAAAACCTCTTCTGATGTTTAAAGTAGCAAGGAAATGATGCCAAAGGAAAGAATTTCATAATGTCACAGGGATCTAAAGAACAGCTTATACATAGCCAGTGTTTCCAAACCCAGGCAGGATGAACTCAGAAGTGTTGAGCTGTGGTACCACTCACAGAAACTACTACGCAGTTAGTACGGTTTCTTCCCTCTTTCCCTTCCTCTTCCTGCTTTCTTTATTAAAAGATGGGCCCCACCTACACTCTCAATCATATCGGAAACTGGTGAAGTTTCTTCTGCAAGTGCTCATGATAAAAAACAAAACCATCAAGAGCTGACTTCATCGTACAGTGAGATGCTGTTTCCTATCTGTCTGCTCTGAGTAGGCAGAGGACTGTGACTCAGCTGTTCAGACAGTTTAGGGAAGAGGGTGGGGCTGACAAACGAGTGATTACTTCTTTGATTTAAAAAAAAAAGTCTGATTTTTGGGTTTCCCCCACTACAGATTTTGCTATTCTTTTTTCATAGTAAAAAACTTAAAATCATATGTTTAGGACTTGGAATGTGTAATGCTGAGAGACCATTTATGTTGCTATTGTTTAAGAATCTGGCATTTAGTGTTTGTTTGCATTTGAGGTTAAGAAGTAATTGTAGTCCAAATGATAAATTTGCCATCTACATAGTCAGGAAGACTGATGGTAAACACTCGGTCTTCTGTTCTCATTGGGGCATGAGATCATTAGAGTTTATAGTCTCTTGGGAACAGAAATAGAAAAAGCACATGGCACAGTGTTCTCATTCCTTCCTGTCCTCACTGTTTGGAGGACAGGCAGCCTGGCTTCCAGCAGACCACTGCTGAGGTTGTGCCTGCCACTGTCCCTCTCAGGCCTGAGGACCTGTCAGCCATGTCCTCTCACCTTCTGTGATAAGGCAGAGCAAAGCTAAAAGTGTGGTGTCATGCATTGTCACCGAGTATTTCTATTTTAGACAACCCACAGCCTAAAAGGTGTTCATATAGAAACAGAGGTAAGACAAGAGTCAAGGAACTTGAGGAGACACAGAGCTCAATACAACCAGACAGTAAACACAGAAAAGTCAGATTTTAACTAATTGTAGGTTCTATTGTCCCTCCATCTGGGTAGTCCTGTCCCCTCCTCCTGGTCCCTAAATGCTCCACATTCTAACTTTCCACTCCTCTCATAAAGCCACATTTTAAAAATAACATGGTGAAAGCTAAGAATTTAGGAGTTCTGAAATGGAGTTGTGGCTTTTTGTTTTAAACTTTCTGAATGTGTCTTAAGATAAAAGGATCCAGATGAAGAATACACAGAGACTGGGAGCCCAGATGAGAGTAGTATATTCTTTGTTTTGTTTTCTTTTATAGAGACAGGGTTTCTCTGTGTAGCCCCAGTTGTTCTGGAACTCCCTCTATAGAACAGGGTGGCCTCAAATTGATAGAAACCTGCCTGCCTCTGCCCCCCAAGTGCTGGGATTAAAGGCTCACACACCACTGCCTGAGAAGTATATTCTTGCATCATGTTCCAGGGCTTAAGTTTTCCCGCATGACAGAATACTTTGCATTGTTCTAATCAGTCCCTATTTGTCCTTACATAGGTCGAAGCAAATTTAAAATTTACATAGGAGATCATTCTCCCAACCTAAAGATGTCTAATACATGATTTCTACTGGGCTAATTAAAAATTATGAGAAGAGCATAAAGTTTATTACATGAGGAATGCTAAATTACCCCACAGTTTATCTTTGTGAAACTACCTGTTATCAACCAGGCATTCACTGTTTTCCCTGTTCACAGCTGATGTCTGGAAAATTATCAGCATGTTTAAACTATTTCATCTTTGCTAGGAGTTTTTAAAAAGTATAAAAAGGGACGTTGCCTTGAAAATGGTCAAGTTCTAAGAAAAACGACCTCCAGGGTTTGGACAGGAATAGAATAAGATGCTGATGTGCTTAGGGCAGTGCTGGGTGAGACCACACATACCAAATTCCACCCGGACAAAAGGGAGTTGAAACTCTATTTACACCTTTCACTGTTAAAAAGCCAGGCTTCATTTTGAAAGTATCAGTTAATGTCTTCAAGAACAGCACCTCCTGGGTCCACCATGCTTCTTATAGGAGTCACAAGTCACAAGCCCAAAGCCACACATGCACGGGCATCTGGAAACCCACAGTTGAGATAAGTCACTTTCAGTGTCCCCAAATTTACACCCCAGTGCTCCATTCCCAGACCATGGCTTCTCCCTTTGCTTCTCCATAAACACACTTTAAATTATGGATGAGCTAATTAACTTGTCTGAAGGATGTAGGCTCTCCCATTCAGCATCTGGATTGTCTGGAGTGTTGTGAGAATGTGTGGCTGATATAGTTCCTCAGGGGCTGAGACATGGATCGGATCGGGTAGAGTTTCCTACCCCTCTGCAAAACCCGCTAGCCCCAGGCTGCCACCATTAAATAATCTGCTTGTGCTGGATGCTGGTCTTTGGAGGTTTCTAAAATTCATTTCAATGTGGCAAATGTATAAGATTTTATGGCTAAACAATACAAAACTTACAGAATAAACAGAAACACAACCTTAAATATCTATTACTTTGCTTCATGCTTGCTTCTTGGTGTAATTCTGAACAGCAAAAATGCCTATGATTTTATCAAAATGAACAGCACGTGTTCCTCTCAATGACCTGAACTCGGATTGTACGTGTGATGTGTAGTTATTACCAGATGTGTAAAATGATTGTAACAACTGGCTTAACAGTATGGAGCTTAGCAGTGATAAGCCCAACAAACAATGGACAAAGCAGTAGCATCACTAAGAATATGCAAAAGCTTATGTAGTAGAGAACATTTAGAAACGTACCTATGGACCCCACACACTGACTGTCCCTTGCCCTTTGCAATCTGCAACCTAGCCTAAGGGATGCTATTATTAGCTTTAGCTTTATTTTTTACTATTTCATATTATGTAGGTGGCATATCCCCAAAAATGTTGGATGCAATTTTAAATTAGTAACTTCACCCCAGATTTACTCTCTTCTATGTTTCACCCATTGTTTTGGGGTTACCTGTCACAACTTCCCAAGCAAATTGACTGGGCTGAGGATAATGGCTAGGGAAATATGGTCGAGCCTTATAAGTTGCCAGACTTAACAACGGTGTGTGTGTGTGTCGGGGGGATGTTACGATAGGATATGAATTTCATGATTTATGAGCTCTAGATTGCAAATTATTTCACAGAATCTGGAGTGAACAGAGGAAAGATAGTAATATGTGTTTATCAACAGTTGACATTTCTATTATACATTTTAAAAATGGTTAAAATGTCAAAAGTGAAATTAAAATCTAGTATGTACTTTTCCTGTTATATTATTTTTGTTTTTGTTTTTCTTTTTTTTTTCTGTCAATGATGAGACAAAGACAACTGAAGAGAAACACTTGAAGGCTGTGATAGCACAGCTGAGACTGGCCAGCCTGGCAAAGCCCTTGTTTCCTATTCACAGAAGGAGACTGAATCTATAGTTTCAAGTATGACTGCTGGGCTTCTGTTGTCAATGGGAGACTCTTGGTGGGCACATTAAACCACAACATTCCAGTCTTGCTTCTATCACTAACCAGCTTGGCATGTGAAAGACTCAGTACTTCCAAACTGTACTGTCACTAATTCCAAAGTGGGAATTAGGAGTCCATTGAAATGCCATGAGGGGTTACTTAGGGTTTTCTGGAAAACAAGACACTCACAGATACTGTATTAGGGCTCTGTATGCATCTTCTCCTCTCCTGTATGACATTTAGCTTAGTCATGAGTTTATTTTACACTATGGAGTATGGTTCCCTAACTCCCGTGACAGTGGATCCATGTACTTGGAAAAACATCTTTAGAATGTGTGTTCTCTTGTGTTGAGGGCCATTAGATTCCTCTGTTCCTGGAAGGTGCATCCACCTAGCCCAAAGGCCTACATAAAAATGCTTTGGCCAGAGGCAGCCATCTGACTTGGGACTTTTCTAGGGCTAAATCCGGAGCGCTGCTGTGACAGAGTAAGGCAATTCTGGGTGACTGCTCTAGGAAGGTCTGTGTAAAAATGGATCAGAGGAGGGAAAACTGTTGTTTCTGAAATCAAGAAGAGGAGGAGGAGGAGGAGGAGGAGGAGGAGGAGGAGGAGGAGGAGCAGGAACAAACACACGGGGAAAAAAAGTGTGCCTGGCAAAGGAAGAAGAGGTCACTCCCTTGGTGAGTCCCTCATGCATTTCCAGATACTCCAGTCAACAGTGAAGCCACTTCAGAGAGGGTCAAAACAGCAAGGCTAGCTCCCGTGCAATCATCTACATTTGTGCAGAATGGCCAAATCACTACACTTGCATGACATAAAGCCAGCTTGAGTTACCTAGCCTGTGGTAGCTCTATACTGGAACCTTCTCTTGGTAATGTTCTTGCCATATACCAGTTTCAAGAGGCCAGTCCCTCCATTTCACAGCAAGGAAAGGAAGTAACACAGGCCACCTGGAATGAGTGCATACAGTCACGTGGTAGGTACAACAGATTGGCTGGGGCAAGTTGGTCATATTTAAAAAAAAAAAATACAGGTCTTGGGAACGAGCTTTGGATTGTTCTAGGTTAGTATAGTTTATTTTTATGATTAAGTAACTGCAAATGCAGTGAATTCCTTAAAAACCCTTCCCCTGCCCACCCCTCCAACCCCACCTGAAGAGTACAAATTGCCAGGGAGCAGCAGCAGAGCACTGGTTAATGGGGGTCTGGGACTGGCATCAGCTGTGTTTCTAAAACACTGCAAAACCCTCCCAAAATTTGGCACTGTGGGGACGATTGGCAACTCGAACTCAGACTAGGTAAGAGTCTGGGCAGCCTTGGGGACTATCCCAAAGCTTTGGCAGTGCTGTTTATGGAAGCTTCACATGTACTCCTTCAGATCCATTGCTCTAGCAGCTAGATTCACCCTACCAGAGCCACAAGACGAGGGGCGTGGCCAGTGTTCCCAGCCACATCCAACTGTAGACTCCCCATGGCTGGGCACAAGTCAGGAAGGGAGCTTTCTAGGAGGACACGGGGAAGGGAAAGGGGTGCTCTGATTTTATATGTAACTACTCATCAAACTGCTACTATTTTGTCTATCTTTAAAAAAAGTCCACAAGCCATGGGGAAGGGGAAGAGGTGAGAAAGGAGTATGAGATTTATATCTATCTATCTATATATATAATCTATTTGGTTGCGGTTCGAAATAAGTTACTTCTCCAAAGCAAAATTTACAAGATGCCCATAAAACTTCAATTAGAAGGTTTTGTAACTAGTGCAGGCAGCACCACCAGTTAAGAAACCCCGAGTGCTCAAGGAATACCAACCAAAACATTATTTCATTATTTGTTCTTTACAATAAAAATGTTTCTCAAATCATTTTTCCCCTTGTTTATACACGTTTTGCATTAAGAAAATACAAAAAAGAGAAGATGACTATATGGACCATCGAATCTGTACCTTGAGAAAAAGGGCTGTGGGGGCTCCAGAGTAAGAACATCCCAAGTCAACAAGTGCATCTCCATCAGTGATGGAGCCCACATCTGTCTCCTCTGTTCCCCTCCTACTTGACCCATAATACGCATCCACGTGTCCATGTCTCCACAAGCCAATGCTTCCTTCTAACACGATAGAATATATTTTGTACTAAAACATTCTGAAAAGCAGTAACTAATATCTTAATCCCAATGCTGAAAACACAGGATACAAAAGTAAGCAAATTTCCTGGGAAACCATTATTAATTCTCTCTGCAGTCAAAGAAAATCAAGTTCTTGGAGGAGTCAAGACAGTTTGCAGTCAGTCCTTGGGGCCCAAGATAATCTTTCGTTCTCCACACTGGGCTTCAGGCAAGCTCTGCAGCTGAAGAACAGAGGGATGGACTGAGGGGCAGGGATGGCTAATGAGTGGGCCCTGAGAGGCCATGCTGACAAACACTCACTCTGAGAAAGAGCAAAACAAGGCGGACTCTGTGTGGGTCTGCAATGAAAACATTGGTTGTTTGTGGCTGGGTCAATCAATACAGAAGGACAGCCTTGTATGTTCTCTAAATTAACTTCTAAAGTAGAGACAGGGAATTCAATCAGTCCAAAGGGACAGCCTTGTATGTTCTCTAAATTAACTTCTAAAGTAGAGACAGGGAAAATCCCCACAGCTTTGGTGTTAGGAAGGGAAGAGCAGCAATCCAGGCCACCAGATAACTCTGTGCTGCTTTTCTTTTAGGGCTCTTGCTTGAATTCCCAGCCAGCTCTGCTGCCAATGCACACAGGTCCCCCAGGAGTCAGTCTACTGTTTTCCCTCCAGGCTACAGCAGGCAGTTTGTGTTTGCCTGGGGAATGCTACTGGCTATGGACAGAGGTTTGCAACCAAAGACGAAAGGCCATTCTCTTGCTGGGAAACATGTCTCAGAGGTTGGGAACAGCACTCATGGGTGATTCTAAGCTGCTGTTTCTCCCAACACTGTTTGAAAGACGTGAAATCTACTAAGACGGCCTGGGGAAGTCTGTGCAGACAGCAGCAGCTGGAGAGTGAGGTGGTGATTCCCTGGGCTCCTGCTTGACTCTTCAATGCAGACAGCCAGTCTCCAAGAGGCACCGAGACTCATCCGGGCCGTCCTCCTCACTGGAGATGGAAAGTCATCCTGCACTGTGATGTGCTTTCCACCCCACTTTATCCCCTTTCTGTGGGTTCTTGGTGCAACAAAAACTTATGACGAAGTCAGCGGCTGCCCTTGATGCATTGTGAGGTGTGAGCAAATGGTAAAGTTGTGCTCCATGGAGAGGCATAGGGCTGGTTAACTGCATCTCCAGTCAGTTACACTAATGAAGGAAGGAAGGGGAAGGGAAGGGATGCTGTCTACTGTGCAGGAAGCTGCCACCAGCTCTCATCCTCTATGCATCCCTCAGTCTCCAAGAGCAGGCAACAAATACTAATGTGTTGCAAGCCACCTTTGCAGGCTGCCGGAGTACTGAAGACACAAGCTCAGAGGAGAAAGCATTTCGGAGGAAGCTGCCAGGCAGAGGGCACCACCCATCATCAGGTGATGCACTGCCATGTTGCCTGCAGTTACAGGCCTGCCCTGCCCACAGGTGCGGAGAGGACACCAAGGAAGCTGCCTGAAGGACCACAAAAGAGATCGTGAAAAAACATTAAGGAGAATACATGGCCTATCTTCCTTTTGTCTCCTATGTGAAATCAATGGCTACCTATGGATACATTTCAAACACTGATAGAAGGGCTGGGGACCACAGACTCTTTCCCACCCCTCAACAGTGTCAGCAGAGGAACCCTCTGCTCACCACCTGATAGGGATTCAAGGTCACCAGGGAAGGGGTTCTGTGTTGGGACACATGATCCTAATTATAATTCCCACACCTTTTACTACATTTGAGAGAACGGTATGTCAAGAGTTCTCTGTCTGGGGCAGCGGAGGCCCTGTAGGGACTCACTGCTCTTCCGTTTTGCTACTATTTCTAAACTTCACCACCATGACTGTAATATTGTCGGGGCAGCCTCTGTAGAAGGACTGCAGGACGATGCTTTTGGCCCCGAAGTGAGGTTCATCCAAGCGCTCCTTGATGAATCGAACTGCTTCTTCATTACTGAAAGCATCCCACAGACCATCTGATGCCAAGATCATGAACTCAGGCTGCAGCTTGTCCAGGTCAAAGGTCAGGATATCTGGGTCTGGGATGACCACATTGAGATTTTTCAGTGGATAATCCCCCAGGGATCGAGACATGGCCAGGATTCCCTGGACCCTCCAGGAGCCATTGAAACTGATGAATCCACCTGGAAAGACAAAGTGAGCCAGCCCGTTAGCTTGCTTAGCCAATATCTCTCATACTTGGTACAGTCTTGGTGTGTGTACCACAAACTAGTCTTCTACATGTGAGTTGGGCCACAGGTGGTGCCCCACCCACCCACTCCCATCACCTTTGTCACTACCAAGTCAACAGCATCTTGCTGCAGGGCCTGGGATGGAACTTCATGCTCTCATCCTTTGGCACTGCTAATATTGGCGAGAATATTAAAGGTGGAGTATGGATGGAGAGAGAGCATCAGTTCTAACAACACACTGTGGCAGCTCAGTGATTGACAGAACAGGGACTTGAGGAAGAGTGGCAAAGAAATGCTGAGAAGCAAGTGGACAGGCAGGGAGACATCTCTGAAACAAGTCCTTAGTGAGGTCATGTTGGGATGTACTGACTGACTTGGATCCCAAGCAGAACTGGGATGAAGGCAAATCACATTTTAGGCATATTTAGTGACCCTGGATGAGAAATACTCTCCTCGGGATGCTTTGTCTTCCTATCTGCCAAATGAGTATAATGTCCACCTCACTGCATGGTGGACTGTAAGAAGTTACTCCATAGAAATCCCACAGCACGGTGCCTGACTGTACATTCACTCAAGTGCTATCTACTCTCCCCTCTCTTTCTTTTTTTGAGAGGGGACTAAAGTCTCTTAGAGTCAAAGTAGTCTTGAACTCACTATATGGCTGAGGCTGGCCTGAACTTCTGATCCCTTGACTCTACTTCACAAGCTCTAAGATTAAAGACATACACCACCATCCCTGGATTCTATTATTTCTTTAAATGAGCTAGGATTTTTTTCATTCACATATTTGTCAGATAGTTATTGAATATCTACACTGTAGAAGGGGATTTTTTTCTGGATATGAAAATTATGTAAGTAAGACCTAGACCTTTTTACTGACAATCTGAGGAGAGAGAAGCCATATGTGTTAAAAGTTGCCCGGATCAAGTAGTACTCTTCTGGGATAGGTTAGTATCTGCTACCCACTGAAGTAAGGGAGGATGGAAGAATGGGAGTGACGTCATAGAGGAGCTGTAAGGGAATGGTGGACAATTCCAGCAAGTGTGGTGTAGTAGTCAAGGGCAAGGGCTCTTTAGTCGGTCACAGCTTTAACTCTGACCTCGTCACTTACTAGTTGTGTGTCTGTGGGCACGGTCTCTCTGAGGTTCCAGGTTACTGGCTATAAAGTAATTATAACATTACCATCCTCACAGAATGTATTAAAATGTATGTAGTGTATCAGGCTCAGCTCTTAGTACTATGAGCACAATGAACGGCAGCTGGTACTGACGCTGTTTGTGACAGAGCAGAGACAGAAAGGTTAGCATGTAGAGTATGTGGTCCAGACTGGCTGGAGCTTCTTGTCATGCTAAACAGGAGGAAGAAAGATGTCCTAAGTCTAGGGTCATCATAAACATAAATAAAGATGATAAAACTCATCACCATCCCTTAAGCCCTCCTAGGGCGATTAAAACAGATTTATAGCTGGTCCAGGTACACACAATACGAGACTGCAGAATGTTCAGCTCTAAATGGAACAGCTATATCCTGTCCACTCTGTCCAGGGTTCAGAGATCATTGAAGCAGAGAGGGCAAAAGAATGTAAGAGCCAGAGATGGTGGATGACTATATCCAGGAACTGCTTTGTGTGTGTGTGTGTGTGTGTGTGTGTGTGTGTTTGAACACAGCAGAACAGTTGCATATGAATTCACAACAGTTTTGACAACATGCACAGTACCTAGTGCAAGCTCAAGTCAAGTATGGAGGTGAGAAATGGACATGAAGTCCCACCCCTACCTAAGACGCTATTAGCAATTGATAGCTGCTGGGAGTTGTTCTTTGCAAGGATGTGTGGCACTTGGTAGTTAGAGTATGATCCCAGTGGATGACCTCATATCTAAGAGTATATGGGCAGCACAAGTTGGACTTGATGGGTGTGTGGGGAGGGCACAAGGTTGATAGGTAGGTGATGGTTGATCTTGGCTGTCAACTTGACTATATCTGGGATATAGACCCAAAACAGCTGAACATGTCCGTGAGTGATTTTCTTGATTGGATTGTATGGGGTGAGAACACTCACCCTAAATTTAGGCTATACCTGGTGGCAGCCACGCATAAAAGGACATGGAAGAAGGAAGATTTTGTTTTTTACCTACTTGCCCTCACTGTTGCTGGCCAGTTCACCTATCCTGCTGCTGAGGCACTTTTCTTCTGGCATTAGAACCTATTTCTTTGGGAGACTATATAGACTGAAGACTGCCTGAGACATCTATCCTTCTGGACTATACAGCTTATGGATTCTTGGTCTTTGCATTGGGAGACAGCCATTGTTGGACTAGCTGGACCACAGCTTTTAAGCCAGTCGAATAAATCATGTATGTATGTATGTATGTATGTATGTATGTATGTATGTACCCAATCAGTTCTATTCCTCTAACAAATGCAGCTGGATCTGGGAGAGATTGGGGGAAAAAGTGAATATGATCAAAATACATTATATGACATTCTCAAAGAATAAAAATATTTAAAAAGCACACCTTTGCCTGATTCTTGTAAAAGAACAGAGTAAGTCAATTCATCTTAGAGATGGTGTGCAAATTTGCTCATATAAGGAAGCACTGCAGAATGGGAATAGGTGTGTCAGGTATGAAGGAGAGGACAGTGGATAACATGATAGTGAAATGTCAAGAACACATGCTGGATAGTAAGGTGGAGTTTCTGGGTGCCTGTGTGTCCTGCCACATTTAGCTATCTGGATCTTGAGTTTGGACTTAGAGTGGACTCTTATGAGGAGACGGGGCCTAATAAATGAATGTCAGAGTGTTTTACTCATCTTGTCTGGAGCTCATCAAAGTTTGATGGATGATTCAAAAACACTATTCTATTTCATCAACAGAAAACCTAGGCAGAACTTTCATTCAAAATTGTTGTGCATCACAAGCAGGAACTGAAATGAGGGGCTGTAGTAAAACCCAGCTCTGTTAGCCTGAGGCACACATCTTCTTGCTGTGAGACACAAAGGCTCATTAGGCTCTCTTCATTTCCTCATTGGGTAGATGCTAACCTGCAATAACCATTCTGCAGGCCACACCCACAACAGGGGTCCAGGCTGCTCAGCTGCCTAGCACATCACCAGGCTATGAGTTTAGAGAGAGAAGAGATTCTTGCCTTCCACAGGTAAGAAACCTCAGAGAGGGCAGCCACCCCAGACTGTGGAAGCCTTTGCCCCAGTGGGACATGGAATTCTCCCAACAGGATACTCCAAAGTGGAATTTTAGGGGATACATACTTTTCATCCACTCAGAAGTGGGAATGACACTTGCATAGGCACAAACACATCATTGGAGCTCATGCTGCAGTGTTAGGAGTCTGGCATGGCTTGAAAGGGAGCAGAGGGCTAGTGATCAAATTGGACTTTAAATGAAAAGGGCTGTCTTTGGCCCTTTTGGAATCTTTGGCCATGGAGAGTGGCAAATTAAGTTACCATCAATTAATAAGAAATGTACAGTATAGGGATATAGACTAGGTAATCGTCATGTCATAGTGAACCTGTGTGCTGCTGGATAAGTGAATTTGCTCCCTAAAACCTCTCCAAGCAAGCACCTAGATCACCAAACAAGACGGCAGACTTCCTCCAAGGGGCTCACAAACTCACCAGCTCTCTTTATCCTCTTCCTCTCCTTGAGTTGGTAAGGCTTGTGATCATGAGACAAGGGAATGGCATTTCCATCTTTGTCACACAAGACTCCTCGAGAATCACCAACATTGGCCACAGTGAGGTCTTTATCTGATAGTAGAGCAATCAAACACGTTGTGCCTGCAAGACAGAAGAGAGAGGCAGTGTAGGCGGAGACAGTGCACTGATGTTCCCTTGCTTCTCCTGGTTCCCAGACTCTTCCATGATTAACGCTTCTCTTGCTAGGAGGGAATTTTCCATCAGCTACTCTGGGAATGATCACAGCTCACTTCAACATCATTGATCAGATCTGACAGTCTATTTTCTTAACTGTGTTACACTGTCACTGAAAAAGGCTAGAAGAACAGTATCATTTTCCTAAATCACTTTGTTTCTGTCACTCTTAATTTAAAACCACCACATCTAAAAGGATCAGGGGAGAATTCAAATCAATCTGAAGCCGTAGGCAACTGGTACCTGTCATCACCATCTCACAGGTGCTCAGTCTCTGAGAAGTCCTAGTGATAAGAAGATGTAGAGGTTGGTGATGGGGGCTGGCACCCGAGGAAGAGGCAGATGTCAACAACCGTATCCTGTGGCAGTATGACAGAACTAGTGGTGTCAGGAAAGGTCAAACCAGAATACAGAAAGTCTGAGAGCAGAGACTGGGGCTTAGAAAAAGGGCAGCCAGCCCCAGGTGTGAAGGGGCAGGATATGAAGGTAGAACAGGAAAATCTACAGGGAAGCTAGAAGAGGGACAGAGGTGTCAGAGCACCAGCTTGCCTGAAGCTTGCACAAGACACACAAAGACAAGCTTTCCTCAGTTCCTTTTGAAATAAAAAAGAATACAGCAAAGAGAATCGAGCAGTCTTTTGCCTCTTCTGCCCTGCCTGTCACTGTCAATAGTCAAGTGTCTGCTGAAGTGTGCCATTCATAGTTGTTCCTCTGTGACTCAAACCGATCGCTCCTTTACTTGTTGAAGAGCACTCTCTGGTCATCCTTACCAGGTCCTTCCTTGTTAAAAAAAGTCATACTCCACAATAAAACTGTAAACTGAATCTAAAGCACCTTTTAGTTTTTGTAGAACTATAACAAAAAAGGGAGAACCCCACTTATAAACAGCAACAATAAATACAGATTGGTGAGAGCAGGAGGCTAGTTATGAAAGCTAGCATATTCTGTGATGGTTGTTTGACATTCTGTTCTTTTTAAATCAAACGATGGCATGTGATTGCAGATGGTGGGGAGTGCAAGTGGGTGCCAGTGCCCACCACGGCTCATGTGTGCAGGTCAGAAGGTAACTTTTGGAGTTGGTTCTCTCCTTCCACCTTGCTGATACAAGAGTGCTCTTGCTTCTGCGGTTCTCTTTGTTAGGGATAGAGACACTATGTCCATGGTGACAATGTGGGAAAGGGTTTACTTGGCTTGTGCTTCCATGTCATTGTTCATTATAGAAGGAAGTCAGGAGAGGAACTCAAGCAGGGCAGGAATCTGGATGCAGAAGCTGATGCAGAGCCCATGGAGGATGCTGCTTACTGGCTTGCTCCTTATGGTTTACTTAGCCTGCTTTCTTATAGAGCCAGGACCACCAGCCTGGGATGGTGACCACAATGAGCTGGGCCCTCTCAATCACTAATTACAAAAATACCCTACAGGATTGCTTAAAGTCCAATCTTATGGAGGCATTTTCTCAACTGTGGTTCCTTCCTCTCAGAAGACTTTAGCTTGTGTCAAATTGATATAAAACTATGTAGAATAACATCCTTAGCCATCAGGAAAATGCAAATCAAAGCTATTTTGAGATTTCATCTGACAACTGTCAGAATGGCCAAGATCAATAAAACAAATGACAGTTCATGATGGCTAGGTGTAACACTGGTGGGAGTGCAAACTTGTACAGCCACTGTGGAGAACAGAGTGGCAGTTCCTTGGGAAGATGAGAATTGATCTACTTCAAGATCTAGCTATATCACTCTTGGGCATATTCCCAAAGGATGCTTCATCCTACTACAGAGACACTTGCTCAACCTTGTTCATTGCTGCTCTATTCATAACAGCCAGGAAATGGAAACAACCTAGATGTCCCTCAACAGAAGAATGGATAAAGACAATGTGGTACACTTACAGAATGTAACTCAGACATTAAAAAATAATGAAATTCACAGGTCAGTGCATAGGACTAGGAAAAAAACCCTGGGTGAGATAATCTAAACCCAGAAGGACTAATATGGTATGTGTTCACTCATATGTAGATATTAGCTGTTAAATTTATGATGACCAAGCTACAACCAAAAAAAAAAAAAAAAAAAAAAAAAAAAAAAAAAAAGAAAAAAACTAGGAGGACAGATCTCCCTAGGGAAAAAGAATCAATATTTATGGATAGATACAGGGGACTGGAATGGAAGGATCAAGTGTGGAGGGGAGGGATGGAAGAAATGTGGGGAGAGGCAGCTAAAATTAAGGGCCATTTTAGGGGTAGTATGGAAACTTAATGTAATAGGAGCTTCCTAACATATGTACATTTATGAAGATGCTCTAAATGAAATCACTGAAACAATTTTAACATCCTATAAATGCAACTTAAATAATCAGAAATCATTCCCCTTGAGTTTTTATGTTGGTTGAATTTCATCTGCAACTACTTTGACTTTGTTCTATGTATCTGCTTGGTTAAACTTGTCCAAACAATCAGAGCAGAAATGTTTTATATGTGACACAGAGTTTGAAAGATAAAATAGAAGCACCACTTTCCCGGGTGCCACATGGCATGTGGGTGTATGTAATAGAACTTATGGACCTCTCTGCCCTTTTGCCCTTCTCCATGCTTAGGACAAGGATGTCCCACTAATGGCTTCTACAGCATTTAGACCTATGCCATTAGCCTAGTTGATACCGAGGTTCCTACCAGCTTCTTAGTGATGGGAATCTCCAGCTTGGGCCCCATTCCAAGCCCCACCCTCAGAAAACCTGCCAAGCAGCAGCTCCTCCCCTGGCTCCTCAAGACTGTGCCTACAGAGTACTTAAGTTCTGGTCACCCGGGAATGCTTTGCTCATTAAACTTGGACTTTTAATTTGGCCTGATCTGACATCGGGGGGAGAAATCCACTACCAGGGATTCCAAAAATACTTATCATTTATAATAGGCATTTCCTTCTGCCTGTTTTTCAGGGATCCAGGGAAGGGGATCTGGGCTTTTCCCCAACTCCACTCCAGTCAGGACAGCTCTACATTTATCTATTAGCTTAGTGAGCAGTCAGATAAGGAGAAGAATCTGCACTGCAGCTATGAAACAACCTGAGATGTTACCCTATCGATGATTAAGAATCACTGCAGGGTTTTAGTAGTATAGTATCATGTTGTAGAATATTTGTTTAACTAGGCAAAGATGTATTACATTTGCTTATGTTGAGTATTACTCTTACTATGTGAAGGTGTATTGCATTTGCTTCTGCTGCCCTTGTTAACAATGTAAAGATGTGTTACATTTGTTTATGTTGCATTTGTTGTAAAGATGTCTTGCTGTTTCACCTTGCCTGTCTAAGGCACCTAATTGGTTTAATAAAAAGATGAACAGCCAATAGCTAGGCAGAAAAGGGGTCAGTGGGGCAGGTGGGCATGGAGAATAAATAGGAGAGAATGAGAAGAGAAGAGAGGAGAATGAGGGAGAAGGATAGGGACACACCCGGGGCCAGAAGCTATGCAGCCACCAGCCAGCCAGACATGAGAAGCAGGAAAGTAGGCCATAAGAAAGAAAGATAAAAAGCCCTGAGGTAAAACAGTAGATAAAGAGAAACTGATTAAAATAAGAGCTAAGATAAGGCTGAGCATTCATAACTAATGGTAAGTCTCTGTATCATAATTTGAGAGCCGGTTGGTGTCCAAAAAAGAAAGCCTGCTGCAGTATCACAATGAGGTTTTTGTTTTGTAAGGTCATTCTGGTGACAACAGAAAAATAACGAAAAGCAGTGGGGACAGACTGAGTTAATGAGGCTCAGAATTAATATGGTAACCATAGGGACGGAGGATGACACACAGATTTTAAACCAGATTGGGTAGGTCCATCAGGGAGGGAGGAAGGAAGAAGGGGTGTGGTTTAGAATGTCTCTGTCTCCAGGCAGGAAACTGGGTGCTCCCTGGAACTCAGCGATGTTTACCGTGAGCTTCTGGGAAAGGCTTTGCTGTTAGTGGCACACATGGAGCAAGAAAGGACCTCTTCCTTGGCTCAGAATTGTCCTGTGAGTTTTACTGAGCAGGGGCAGCTATGTTGCAACTGAGGGGAAATTCTCAGCATTGAAGATTAGAGACTGGAAAGCACATAGTTCCTGTGATCTCAGCCAGTGTGAGCCTCCACAGTGGCAGATCTGCGTGATCTGACCCCATCCCAACTGTCGGTCATCGTGGAAACTGCTGAGCCAGTCTGTCCCAGCATGTGTGTTCTGGGAGATAATACAGATCTTTTCTGTCAGAGTCATTTGACTCATGTTTAAGATCTACCTCAGGATGCAGGTTTCAGAACTGTACCGCCTTTGTTAGCAAGAGAATCTTAGGCCCAGCCAAAAATGGTTGTATGTAGGTGGCATCAACAGGGTTATAGGTAGAGTTGTATAACTGGAATGTGTTCAGTGTCTTCTCTACAGAAAAACAAAACAATAGCAAAACAAACCTGCCCACATCCTACACGGGGCCTATGTGGAGCTGGAGAAATAATCTATGTAAAACCAATGCAGAATGATCAGAAAGAAGCCAAAACATGGCAGCACAAACAAACATACTGTTTGGTCTTTTCAGTCTTCACTCAGGGTTACAAAACCATTTATAATATAATATTACTCAACAGGACAAACTACTCTGTTGCCAAGAAACACCAGAAAAACACTTCCCAGGAGAAAATGCTTGCAATGGCACTTTCTTCACTATGCTGGAGAAAAATAACCTCCATGGTTTTGGTTACTTTTGAATTAAATTGATTTATTCCATTTTGGTGCTATTTTTCAAAATACACTATTCCTTAATTTTGAACCTGGGGATGTTTTCACATTAGCAATTTTGTTCTTCATGAGATTTATTGTTAATTGGGACGAGATCTTAGAAACTTAACGTAACAACCTCACCTTTCAGATTTAAAAAGGACTCTGAACCTG